ATTCACCTGCTTCGGGGATGACAGTAGCAGAGACAATTATCGAAACGTATATGAATCGGCACACAGTATTTACGAATCATTCAATCGCGCAGTCATGAGAGTAGAGGGATCTTGGCAACATGTTCCTGAAGGTGGTGTATCATCGTCACTCTGCGAGATGGCTCTGGAATGCTTCACATCACGCGTCTGTTTCGCCGCTGCAACTGATGGTCAAAGTCCGCCCTCAGATCTCTGCCTCATCGACCACGCCTACAAGCAGATCGTTATCAAGCATCCCTTACAATGCTGCATCGCTTGCACCAAGGAACCCGAATGCCGCTCCTTCAACTTGATGAAAAGCAACGAATGCCAGCTCAACAATGTCACACGGAACCAAATTGACCAGGGACAGTACTTGGTGCAGAAGGGCGACTGTGCTTACTACGAATACAACTGATCACTGCATTTTATCGCAAGCCACACCACACACGAGTACAATAATTTTTTTATGCTATTGCTCTGCAATATTAATACACTGCAAAAATTGTGTTCAGGAGTCAAACACTTTCAAAAAAATTCTTGTTTTCGCATTATCAACATGTTTAAGTACTCAACATGTTAAACATGGTGGATATTTTGAAATGGTTTTCTTGATCTGGGCACAATTGGTTTGCGAATCAGCGCATGCAAACCAGTTTGGTACCTAAGGCGTATTGAAAATATCCTATTCTGACCGGATATATTTTTTACTAATGGAAGTCATAAGGAGAAAGTCAAGTGTGAAAAGCGCACAAAACAGAATAAGAAATCTTCATTGGGTATTGATTGGTCGGTGTTGATTGTTGTGACCGGATCCACACACTGTTATTCCCTTATTGCAATATTTCAACGTTACGCAAATCTAAGCAGATTCACAACAAACAAGCGAACATTCGACCAACGAACGATCGTATTTGTAGGAATCTATTTGTCAACGCACAGTGACTTGTTTTAAAAAAATGCCGCAGCTTGGTTTTTCGGATACCTCCAGATATATTACAACAAATGAATACAATGAGAACTGCTTCTGCTATAGCAAATATATTTGCGACGAAACGCATGCGCACCGCCGCTTCGGTACCAACGGCACGCGATTTCGCCACTCAAGTTCGTATGCGGAGAAGACTAAGTATGAAAGGCGCGCGGCATATCTGTGAAAAATCTTCAGTCAGTGTTGAAGGATGTTGCAATCAAAAGTGCTATTGTTCCGTCGTCCTTCTCCTCATTAATGTTTTAGAAAACGTGCAAGGCCGTCATCATGCAGGAGACAACGGTGAAAGCGACGCGCACGTTGCTGCTGAACCACCGATAAAAAAAACTCAAAATGTCAACCGATGAGTGTCTTTTTGGTGTTATGAAAGCCGACTGCATGGCAGCTTTGGAATTGGAATACGCTGTAAAGTTAGTAGCAGCACAGTGATATAGAGATTGGAAATTGCTGGCATATTTTTGTCATACTTATTCTGAAATCATTTTTGTTATCTCACTGCGCTTTTTTTCTTCTGATTTGCGGTAAGCAGAAATTCCTGCGCATTAAAAAAAAAAACATTACGGACTTGTAAGATTTGTGAAGTGCATGAATCATGTGATATGGAATTGGTGTAGGATCGACTTTGGAAGCAAGGAACCTATCCAACACCAATAGATGTGGATGCAGAGAGCCACAGATCCTCGAGCAACTAGTTGTTGACTGCCCCTTTCACCAGTTTAGAGGGAGGGATTCATACTTCAAGGTACTCACCCCTCGAGCCAAAGTCGTAGCTCAGACAGCAAGCTACAGCAATCAAGTCCAGACAACACGAATGAAGAAAACAAAGCTTGAATTGTTTCTCAAGAAAAGGAACATGGAAGTAGAACTGTTTCTGGTACTTGTGTTTTTGGAGTCAGGCTCCCGCGCTGAGTTTTACTCTAGACCCCAGTTGCGGCGTACAAGGGAGTGAGGGGGTAAGGCCTGCTACCTTACGAGAAGCCAATGAATTAAACAGCAATCCGCCAGGGTTTTTTTTTTTCAGACGTTTGGCGGGAATTAGCGGCGCCAAACTCAAAAGAAGAGAACGACTGGATACTGTCATTTTTTTTGGCTCAGAGCGAATATTGGATCGGCCGCGTCCAAGCTGGGCCTAACAAATTCCCCCGCTTCGGAGACGACAGCGACGGAGACAATCATCGAAACATATCTGAATCGGTATATAGTTATTACGAATCATTCAATCGCAGAATCATCAAAGAAGAAAGATCTTGGCAGCATGTTTCTTAATTTGGTTCATTCCAAACACTGTGCAAGATGGCTCTGGAATGCTTCACGGCACGCGTCTGTTTTGCCGCTGCAACTGATGGTCAAAGTCCACCCTCCGATCTCTGCCTCATCGACCACGCCTACAGGCAGATCGTTATCAAGCATCCCTTACAATGCTGCATCGCTTGCACCAAGGAACCCGAATGTCGCTCCTTCAACTTGATGGAAAGCAACGAATGCCAGCTCAACAATGTCACACGGAACCAAATTGACCAGGGACAGTACTTTGTGCAGAAGGGCGACTGTGCTTACTACGAGTACAACTGATCACCAAACGGTATCGCAAGTTACACCACATTTTGCTCTGCAAAATTAATACACTGCAAAAATTGTGTTCAGTAGTTAAACACTGTCAAAAAAAGTTTCTTGTTTTCGCATTATCAACATGTTTAAATACTCAACATGTTAAACATGTTGACGTACATTTCCCCGGCATCGTTCTTAATTGCATGGTGGATATTTTGTAATGGGTTTCTTGATCTGTGCACAATTTGTTTGCGAATAAGCGCATGCGCACCAGTTTGGTACATGCAGCGTGTTGACAATATCCTATTCTGACCATACACAATATTTTTACTAATCGAAGTCATACAAGGAGAAAGTCAAGTTTGAAAGGCGCGCACAACAGACTAAGAAATCTTCAGTGGATATTGATTGGTCGGTGCTGATTGTTGTTGCAGTAAAAGTGATATTGTTCTCTCTTAATGTTCCTCATTGACGTTCTCTGAAAAGCGCAAGGCCGTCATCGGCATGCTGTAGACAAAATAATGCGAAAGCGACGCGCACATTGGAACTGAATAACAGCAATTTGAAATTATAAAAAGCCGACAGGCGGCGATGAGTGAACCAGTGTGGAATTGGAATCGACTGTGAAGGAAGAAGCAGTACAGCGGTAGCGAATTTAAATCTCTGGCGTCTTTTTTCGTCAAAGTTCTTTCTTTAATTTTGTCAGTTTGCCACCTGTTGGCAAATGCTGATGGTTTGAAGTGCATGTTTATACGTCATGCCAATATTCGGACGGCGGGGAATTTAATGCACGAAATTATTCCAGCAAACGTGGTGATGCACTAACTTTGCTTTGTCGTCGGCAAGCCCAACTAGCAGTCAAAGCAACAGCGTATGACATTATCCACTGATAGTATTATGTTTCAATAAAAAGTACAACACAACTGGACACTTTGTCATTTTCATGACAAATTGGTATCGGATGAGCTTGCGCAGTCCAGTTATCTTCTGATTCGTGGTCAGGAGTAATGTTTGCCCACTGCCACACCAAAAACCTTTTTCGGGACTTGTATTAAAGACTCTAGGAGAAATTCAAACATCTCATAGAACTGGATCTTGATTGTTTACTAAGAACTAAAACATGGAAGTACAACTGTTTCTGATATTGTTTTGGAGTCAAGTCCCTGTGAGTTTGACGCTATACACCAGTTGCCCCGTAGGGTGGAGTGAATGGGGTAAGGCGTGCTACATGGAGAACGAGGAGCCAATGACTTGGGCAGCAGCCCGTCAATTTTGTCAGACGTTTGGCGGGGATTTAGCGTCGCCAAACTCCAAAGAAGAGAACCACTGGATGCGGTCATTCTTTCACCAGATCCAATATTGGATCGGCTGCGTCCGAGGTGGGCCAGATCTCTTCACCTGCTTCGGAGATGACAGGGACGGAGACAATTATCGAAACATATTTGAATCGCCAGTGTATAGTGTTTTCGAAGCATACAATCGCGGAGTTATGCGAGAAGATGGATCGTGGATGCTTTTTCCTGAAACTGGAACAATTACATCACTGTGCGAGATGGCTCTGGAATGCTTCACGGCACGCGTCAGTTTCGCCGCTTCAACTGATGGTCAAAGTCCACCCTCAGATCTCTGCCTCATCGACCACGCCTACAAGCAGATCGCTATCAAGCATCCCTTACAATGCTGCATCGCTTGCACCAAGGAACCCGAATGCCGCTCCTTCAACTTGATGGAAAGCAACGAATGCCAGCTCAACAATGTCACACGGAACCAAATTGACCAGGGACAGTACTTTGTGCAGATAGGCGACTGTGCTTACTACGAATACAACTGATCACTGAATTGCATCGCCAGCCACATCACTGTTCCATCGGATGCCACACCACTTCAGAACTGTATGTACTTATACCTAAAAGCTGTTTATGGAAATGTTTAACTATATGTTTCGTTATACAGGCAACAAATTGATTTCATTTCAAAATTTTAAACAATAACCAAACTAAGCGTAATTGAATGCTATTTTCACTACACATCAGCGAACACACGACAGATAAATGTATATACAGTGACATGACATATCAATATGGCAATTAAACATTTCCATCACTTTTAATCAGAAGTTCAATACACTTACAACATGTAAACTAAGATCCGACATAATACACACCGAACTGCATAGGATCATTTGCTTTCTGTGATTTTTTTTGTTAGAAGCCACATATCTAGGTTTAAAAACACAACAACTAATCTGTAGAAATTTTGGAGGAAAAAAACAGACAAAATGCATGCAGCATTTATTTGGATATCGTAACAGAATTCCATTGCTAACGCACGTAAAAAGAAGTAATGTTTCCGTGGGCAACCTATTTTGATACCAATGTTACTTTTTTCAAATGGTACCATTTCTGGTGGATAATTTCACAGGATAATTTCTTCAACTCACCTTTCTTGTTTGACACAAGTGTGATACCTTGGCGAGCTTTAGATCCAAAATGAAACGTAACGATGACAATGAATTCAGCGTCCTTATGACAGTAGATCCATTCTGCAAAGAATATATGATAGAGACGTTAAAGTTTTGATCTATTTTGATCGAACTGAACGATTTCATCACACATCATTCTTCAAATTTTGTCAAAGAAAAGTAAATAATTTAATTTGGGCTATATTGAGTGAGTTGCCTTCGGCTCGGGTAATAATCAGCAGCCAGACTCCAACCGGTCTTAAACAACATGTTATAAAACCGGCCAAGCACATATTATTCCCATTATACCTTTTCGGTCAAAAAAAAAATTTAAAAAATCAGTCCAAAGGGCAAAACAAGTCAAAAATTAAAAATTTCGAACGATTTTGTTCAACAATTTTACTTCATGTTTTTCGACACACCTCTCAAAGTATAGTCCTATTGCTTTTTATCTAAAAGTCAGTTTTTACACAAATAGTACCATCCGAAGGCGAGGGTAATTATCAGCAGCCATCAGACTCCAACCGGTCTTAACCGTAGTGTTTAATACCGGCCAAGCACATCAATATTACTCATAAGGTGGACTTTTGCGCCCATTCATAAATACCTTTTCGGCCAAAAATCAAAACTTTTCGGTCCAAAAGTTAAAACAAGTCAAAACACGTTGTTCAACCATTTTACTTCATGTTTTTCGAAACACCCCTCTAAATAGCTATATTATTCAAATAAACATGTTCAATGCTCATAGAGTAGAAATAAGTGTATTATTGATGGATGGATGAATATATGTATGTTGAAGTAGTCAACTAAATTGTTACGGCATGAATAGGCCTGAGACCTAATGATGTCACACTTTGTTTACATGTGTGCTGTCCTATGTGGCACACGATCTTCGTCTGGCGTCCAGACTTTGCTCCCATAAGAAAGCGCATATGTAAACAAAGCCATTATGTGATTAGGTTTTTAGATCTATTGCTATATGTATACCGTTGTTAGGTAGTTAACGAAATTTTAAAAAGGCCTATAGATTCAGATAACGTTCTTATAGTGTGTAAGGAAAGTCATTATATTCCTATATATTGTTGAGTGTCATATTTGAAGTTAGTGTGAAAAGTAGAAGAAGGTATACATTCACACGGGTTTAAATAGTCTTGATGCATAAAAGAAGCTTACATATTTGTGGTGAATTAGATTGCTTTTTTTTTAACTCGTACTTAGCAACTTAATATATCTGTTCAAACAAACTATTAAGAAATAATGCGCCAAAATGTTCTTTCTGGAATAAAATTCGTTCCTAAAGTTTAAAAGACGCACATACGGGCAAGCAATGCAGATCATTATTTTCTGCAATTTGATATTGTCAATACTCGATATTTAATCCCAGATTATTTTGCAGAATGGGATGTAATGCACAGATAAAAACAAAATATGTCACATTTGTATTTCTCTAAATGGCTTTTTTTTTCTTTTTTTTTAGAAAGCACGAATCAGCAATACCTAAGCCTCTGTACTAATGACGTCACACTTTGTTTACATGTGCACTTTCCTATGGAGCCAGTGGGGGTTCACGGTCCACTGAGCACCATAGAAAAGCTAACACGTAAACAAAGTGTGACGTCATTAGTACAGAGGCTTATTGAATGTGATATCTTCTGTGCATGATGTGTAGAGCTAACATGTCTAAAGAAAAATGGTTACACAGAGCAAGTGACGCAGAGCAAGTTATGTATATAGACGCGGTCAACTAAATTGTTGTGGCATGAATTGCACACATTGTTACGTAGCTACCACAATTTTCAATATTTGGATAATGTTCTAATATTGTTTTAGAAAAGTCATGATATTCCAATTGCTGAGTTACATATTTGAAGTTAATGTAAAAAGTAAAAGAAAGTATGCATTCACACTAGTTTAAAAAAGAATTGATGCATAAAAGAAGCTTTAATATTTGTGGTTATTTAGATCGATGTTTTTTCAACACGTAATTAGCACCTTGATACATCTGTTCAAACAAATTATTTAGAAATGCCGCACCAAATTTTATATTGGGAATTAAATTTGTTCCTAAAGTTTAAAAGACGCACATTCGGGCAAGCAATGCAGATCACTCTGAGGTTATTTTCTGCAATTTGATATAGTCATTACTCGATGAATAATCCTAGATTATTTTCCAGAATGGGATATGAACAGACAACAAGAAAAGATATCACCTTTGAGTTTCTAAATGACTTTTTGAAGAAAATACGCGTCAGCAATTTAATGTGATATCTTCTGTGCATGATGTGCAGACCTAACATTTCTATAAAGAAAATAGTTACATGCAGCGCGTGACTACTTTGATGTATACTATTGAGTGCTTTATCACAATCATAAAGAGTAATTAATACGGACAGGCTTTACAGCTTATGCTTCACGAAAATGGAACCAAAGAATATAGGCCCCTATTTTTATTATGGTAGAAAAATATGAGTGAGTAATGTTTGTACTGCATTGCTTTCAGGGCATCAATTAATCTTTACATGGTTAAAGTGAATGTACAACATTTGCTTTTGCTGCAATTTTCAGAAATGAAAGGATTTGGAGGATTAGTATGTTATAGCATATAATTTTTAACTGCCTTGCTTCACGTTTTGGGGTTTGGAGATGCTGGAAAATCCAAGAAAAACAACCATGTTCTTATAGTCTGGTTCCCTGACCCCACTTAAGATGAAACGGAACAATTTATAGACTTTGGGGAATTGTAAGGTCAGAGAATCAGTCTAGCATGCTTGTACCCCTTCACAGGTGTGTAATCAATTGCAAAGAAAATGCAGAATAACTAAACATGAAAAAATTAGAAGCAGTTTTGAAAAAAAGCCAGTTTTTCCAACGCTGGTCGGCCGACCAGCGTTGGAAAAATGCAAGTTTTCTTGAAAATGTCAGCACACCAGGATCGAGGCACAATTTTACAGGATGTTTTGGACTGTTATTCCCTAACAATCCAGTAAAATATTTTGTGATATTTGATCATTTCGTTTGATCATTGTTCATGAGGTCGCAGATTCAAGCCCTGCTCCAGTCAATTTCTTTGTCCAATTTGAAAAGTAATCAATAAAGTAGATTATTTTGTCCATTTCTTTATTCATTCTTCAATCAATAAGTATACTTATTCTGGCCAACAGGACCATCTCTTATTCTATACCTATATATGGCCTTAATTACTTTTCGGACCCCTCTGTGTTAACTTACTTTAACAACTGGCGAACGCCAGATTATTTTTGTATCTTTTTGATTGTACGGCTCTGAAGGACTTCCGTGAAAATAGCAACGGCGAAAAAAAGAGGAGTCCTAAAAGTAACTATAGCCTACATTCACTCTATGAATTTGCGCTTGCTTGTTGTAGGCTGACGGTACATCGGTCGCACGATTGACCCGGTGGGAAATGATAAAAAAAAATCCCAAAATGTAATGAATTTGGCCTACAGGCAGTTAAAATGAAAAGAAGAAATTAATAGAAGGAAATAAGTGTATAATTGATGTATGTATGTATACTGACGCGGTCAACTAAATAATTTTTATGGCATTGAATTGCAAACATTGTACGTTGATAACAGAATTTGCAATATTTAGATAATGTTCTAATATTGTTTTAGAAAAGTCATGATATTCCAATTATTGATTTTCGTATTTGAAGTATTTGTGAAAAGTAGAAGAAAGTATACATTCACACGAGTGAAATAGAATTGATGCATAAAGAAGCTTAAATATTCGTGGTGAATTACATCGATGTTTTTTCAACTCGTAATTAGCACCTTATTGTATATGTTTAAACAAACTATTAATAAATACTGCACCAACATTTTCTTTCTGGAGTAAAATTTGTTCCTAATGTTCCACACATTCGGGCAAGCTATGCAGATCATTCTAAGGTTACTCGATAAGGCCAAAAAAAAATAATCTGTCTCTGGTCAGACCGAAGTTCCGGAATTGATGCGGCGACGCGGTTTGTTTTTTTTGGGGGGGGTGGCTTTTTTTTTTTCAAGCTTGAATTGTACAGACAAGGTGGGTACTATTTTACTTTTTTGTGTCCTCATTATTCATTGGTGTCCTCCATAATTTGCATTGGTGCCCTTTATCATTTGCCTTGGTGCAATTTCCCCATTCCCTGGTACAAAAATTTGAGGAGGGACGGCAATAGAGGGCGTTAATTTGAAGAAGAATAAAAGGTTGACGCGCGCGCATGATTAAAATCGACGCGCGCGCTGACCAGAGACCGAGTATTTTTTTTTGTATCCCAGATTACTTTCTAGAATGAGATATGAACATAAAAAAGAAAAGATATGTATTTGTATATAAAGATATGTATTTGTATGTCTAACGGGCCTTTTTTAAGAAAGCACAAATCAGCAATTTAATGTGATATCCTCTGTGCAATGATGTGTAGAGCTAATAGTTACATTGAGCAAGTAACTTCGTTGTTGTATTCTGTTGAGTGCTTTATCACAGTCATAAGAGTTATTTATACTGACAGGCTGTACAGCTTTATGCTTCACAAAAATGGAACCCAAGAATGTACAACACAACATAGGCCCCTATTTCTTATTACGGTAGAAAATTGTGGGAGTGAATAATGTTGGTACTGCATTCAGGGCATCAATGAATCTTAGTTAACAGACTTAATTGCACATGTAATAATTGTTGATGTTAACAAAGCCTAGTTTAGAAATGTCATGATATTCCTATTGTTGATTTGAAGTAACAATTAAATTGATTATTCTGTCAATTTCTTTGTTCATTCTACAATCAATAAATAATTGTAATTATTCTGGTTGAGGGCCATCTTTCATTCTACCTATGGCATTAGTTACTTGTAGGGCCCTCTGTTTTGAACTCACTAAACAGCCGCGAATTATTTTATTTTTTTCCTTTCTGATTCACGGCTCTGAAGGATTTTTTTAAGGAAAAGTCCGATAATCATTCGGTTGACAACAATTGATACATGCACAATGGTCGACTACCGTGAAAATAGCAACGGCGAAAACAAAGACTGTCCTCAGTGTAACTATATCCTGCCTTTACTCTGTGAATTTGAGCAATTGTTATTGTAGCACGATTGGCCGAATGGGAGAAGATAATTCCCAAAATGTAAGGAATTAAAAATTAATATCCACTTCAGCTAGGAAATACAAAGAACTGGGTTACTCCCAATTAGGCCCTATATTTTTATTTGTTTTGAGAACAAACATTTGAGACTCAACTTCAACGTAATTTCAACGTACGGCGGTGGCGTCCGGAAACTGGACAAAATCTAGCGTTGGTTTATACCTTTCGTTATTTTACACTGGCAGAAGATTGTATGTTGAGAACTATAATTTGCAAAGGAATCACCAATATGTTCAAGGGAGGCATATAAGAATTTCAACTTTCGTGGTAGCTTTCAGGACATGCAGGACAAAGTAAAGTTACAACAAATGTGTGACTGTTGCCTACCTATAAAACTGGGACAGCCGCGGCATGAAAAGTTAGGAGCAAAAGTGTGTGTTGTATGTGGGCTTAATGAACATGGCGCACTTAGCCCTTTCCCCGACTTTCCTCATGCAGTATTCTAATGAAATTTCACTTACTGTGAAATTTTAGGTAAAAGTTTTGCTCTAGCAAGGCACTAGAGAGTAGAGTAGAGGCGAAAATGAAAGCATGCCAGGCGAAAATGAAAGCATCACTTACCATTTTGTTCCCCAAGAAGTCCGCCGTACAGCCACAGTCCGACGGAAGCAAGCCAAGACTGTACGGTTCATTCAAGAAAACCACTGCAGCCCACATGTGCTTTCTCTCCTTATGCCGAAACAAAAATTTTCCACAAAATGAAGTTGGCACCGGTGGCCTGTCCGCTCGAATCCAATTTCCAGCAAAGTCAAAACAAAGCTCAAATTTGCGCGCCCAAAAAGTTTGCCTCTGAAACTTATCGTCTGCTCGTTTCGACTGTTGACAATACAGTGCACCAGACCAAACTGCAGTGTGTTCAAGACGTGTTCTTGTGTCACGTACCCAGACTCATGAATCAACACACGCGGCAAGGTAATTTTGTTTAACTTGACCAAGTCCTTTGTTTGCTTTTGGTTTCAATTTCGCACTTTCAACTCTTGTGAGAACTTTGCTCTTTGTTAATTGCCATGTTGATGAGAAAGTGAAAAATTAAAACGGGGGGGGGGGGGGGCGTCCGAAGCTAAAACCCTTCTTACATGTTAGGAAATGGGTCACGGCAAATCAGGATTTGAGTCAATGGCCCAAAAAAAAAACAATTCTGAAAAAACAATGTTCAGCCTGTTTTTCATCAATGTTATATTTTTAAAGCCGATATGGGGTAAAGTGTTGCTGTTGCTATTAAAAGGCCCCAAAATGTCGTCAGTTGAAACAATTGCCCCTTCCTTCCCAATCTGGTGGGGGGGGATGAGTATTTTCCTTTGAGTGCTTTCAACACATGTAATTTGTAAATGACAGACTAGTGACAAAAGCTTAACTTAGGAAGGACTATTTATTAAAATGCATACCAACAAATATTTATGGTAACGTGGAACACAAACTTATTGCATTGCTGTTCACCAGTGACTGGTTAAAGTTAAGACACCGATCCATTATGCCACGCCCACTGCACACGTGTGGGCAACATCACATGCACCAACCTCGTCCCCAGTGCTTACTTTATTTCCAACCGCGTTTCCAATAGTAAACCCTGGATAGGAAACTTTCTTCCTGTATCCTGATTGGATACCGCAATTGGCTAGTAATGGATTTTTATCGTGTACTTGGTGCTATATATTCACAACGTGCAGTACGTGTTTTCGCGATCATTCGTCCACGCCTTCTCGAAAATACTAATTTCCTTTCCAATTTGCTCATATTAATATGAAATATGATACTGCATTTTGTCTCGATAAGATCGCAACAGTTTGATTTCAAAAATCGTGTTTTCGTAACTCACACCGTGCTCGCGCTGCTACGAATTGACTCTGTTTTTACCCCAGACACCGCATACAAAAACAAACGCTAATGTGTAACGCATATCCAGGCACCAGACCTTTCCTCATTTGCATACATGTGCAAAAATCTTGCACATGCAAATGATCCAATACCAGGGTGAGAGAGCAGGTAGTGGTGGGCGCGTACTGCTCGACACCCTGGGTACGAGGTTGCACATGCACCTCTAGCTCTCTGAATGCCAGGGCCAAATGTACAGTATGTCAGAATATGGGGCACGCATGTCGGACATCAATCACGGCTGTGATTGGTCAATGCGTCAATGGGTGGGGCTTTATACCTCTCAGTGGCTTTGAACATGTACATGTATTTCTGATTTAAATATTGATTTCTGTTGTGATTGTTGCGGAATACCACACATTCTGCGGCAAACATGCCAACAAGTTGGCCCTATTTTGATCAAAATACTCAGATGCAACCTATATCTACCACTAGAAATACCAGTGCAGACTTTCAAATAAAATCTCGTAAAATTAATTATTTCAGACCAGTGTGCTATATTAATTTGGAAATGCAATGTGTTACACCTTGAAACAACACAGCCTTTTCGTAATCCCAACTAAAGTAAATAAAGAAAGTGGCACATTCTCTACCAGATATATCGGTAGCGCCAGTATCACAACTCCAGTGGTACCACTTATGATAATTTATGTTTTTCCTTTGAATCATTTCAAGACACTTAGGTTTTCGTTCTCTTTTCCCCTGAAATTAAAATTATTGTTCTGTTCTCATGAATAAACATACTGGCCCGTTGACATACGAATATATTATCACAAGTGGTACCACTGGAGTTGTGATACTAGCCCTACCAGAGAAATCAGCTGGGACAGTGTGTTCCCATTTGAAACACAAAACAAAAACACCCATGTACCAGTTTATGTGGGAACACATTCCCAATTAGGACAGGCATAACTAAAGTAAATTATACAAACATTGTGAGGTTCAGAATCAGATCTATTTGAATTGAAACATTAAGGGACCGTGACCATTCAGCCCTGGTATGAAAAGGGCCCCCCGGTACCTCGTCCGGTCCAGAGCCAGTCCGGTCTTCAGCCCAGTCTGGTCCGGTACATGGTCCTGTCTGACCAGAAGTTTTGAAGTCAGTCAGGCGCATCAATTTATTGCCCTTCAGAGAACGTCCAGAGCAGAACAATAGCAGATTTACCGTATTAAAGATAAAATCCTTCCAAACGCCTTTTTAATTTACAGTCCCATTGTGCGCGAAACCGCAAGGCAGGGGTTTTGATCTGTGCCGACGAAAGTGTTCTATTGATTCGCGCTGAGAGATGAAAACCACAAGCGGGTTTCTTCTGGGATATATTACATGTGTAAATGCTTGCAAACAATAGACCCCAGGATAGAGGAGTTCCTGATTAGCAACCGGACCAGCTCCTGGGCCGGTAGCTGGGACGGTACGAAAAGACTTCTTGGGAGGGGACGAGCTTACCGGTGGGCCCTTTTTATACCAGGGCTGAATGGTCACGGTCCCTAAAGAAATTATACATGGCAAATTAACTTCAAAAATGCGTGTATTCTCGCACATTCATTAAGTAACTTCTTTTTTCACACATAATTTCATCGAAAACTAAAAATGTGTGACTTTCAATTCATTATCTGGACCCCTCTCCCCCCCCCCAAGTTAAAAAAAAAAAAAAGAAGATATGTACTTTACATTTGTTATTTGATTTTACAACTTCACCTCATTTTTACATAATTTACAAAGAGTTGTTGAAAAAAATTCACATTTCACAGAATTACAAAATACATACATTAAAATAAAGCAATAACAAATGCCTCTTTCATTTTTTTTTTTTTTTGAATGGTGCATATGAGAATTTTAAAAACAAGGAAATTAGCTGACAAAGGAAAAACACAAATGTCATTTTCTTTCAAAGCTTAGCATGTGGTGGCACCTTGTTCAAGACACGTTGCATATCTAGTAGACTCTCGGCCAGTTTCTGGGAGAACTTCTCCGAGTCGGTCTCGGGGACGGTGTTGAAAGCGGTCACGCCAAAGTTGATGTGGTCGTCTTGGGGGTTGTAGCAGACGCCGTAACCGTTTGGGACGACAGGACCGAAGATCATAGTCAGGTCATGCTTTGCTGGTACCTGAACAAAAATTAAACAAAATAGTGGTGTCCTTAAGTGACTTTATTGCTTTTTATCCCTAACCCTACAGGGTATTTTGGCTAGAAACCCTGCCAAACGCAGCAACATGCAACACTTGTCTAAATGACAAGCCTGCCCAGTGTAGCAAGATCCATCAGGCCAAAAGTCTCGAGGCCTACCTGCCTCAGAGTCCGTGGTCACCGAATGCAGCAGGATACAACTGTGGCATTCTTCAATGGGACTAGCTCTCAATATTTCAGAACTGGCCGTTTTTGCACTGGTGTTGGTAGCTGAATGCATCAAAGTGCACTGTGTTGCGTCTGGCAGGTTAGGGTTAGGATAGACAGAATGCCAGTCCTTACAGCTACAGCTTTTTGAAAAGGCTGTCTTGGCTTGGGCTGATGTTTGTCCAAGAGGCGAAGCTATGGCGCAATTTGAGCAGAGACTACCTGACTTAATCACAAGGACTTTTGCACTTTTGCACCGTTTCCGTTCTTTCTTTACCTGGCTTGTAGAGAGGCGGAAATGCATAGCCGCCGTGTAGGACGTATCCATGAATATCTCTGGTACGTTCTTGCCTTGCTCGATGGCAATCAGCTTCAGGCCAAACAGATGTCTGTCGATGGCATCGCCATTAATTGCCTGAAAATGACAAGACGTAACAATACAGTAAAGAAGTAAAGCCTGTCCGGAGCAAATATGGTACATCATGTCAGCATTTATCTCTGGTTTCCATGGCATGAAACGACTGAGAATATTTCTATTCCCTGGATGGGATGCTAGTCCATCACAGGTTACTCCCCAGCTAATGCCAGTACCCATTTATATTCCTGGGTGGAGAGAGGCAAGTGGGGGCAGGTGGCTTGCCCACGGAGACAACATATGGCCAGCAGCTGGATTTGAACCCCTGCCTTCTAATTGTGAGTCACAAACCCTATGTACTAGAACACACTCCCGCATCATAAGTTTATCTTTGAATTTAATATAAGTCTATTTAGTGTTTTGAATTTTTTTTATTTTTTGTAAAGACTTTTGTTATTGACACTAGATTATGTAGCTCACTTGTTTCCCCTTTCATGCCCTGCTCAATTCCATTCCCAAAGTCACATGACTCTGTTAAAGGTTAGTTTCGGCATATTTTTAGTTTTTCTTCTTTTCGGCATGTTCTTAGTTTTTCTTCTTCTCATGTTTGCACTTTATGAATTTTAAACCCCTTATGTTTTGCTCCCATTTCTCTGTACGTGAATTCAGGTTTAAATTCGACTCGAAATCGGGGCACCAAAGCTGACAACTCCTTACCGCATTTGTGTATTCCCTGTGGGCTAGTATGGCCTTCCTCAAAAGGTGTGCCTTTTCACTCAGCTGAAAGGAATGCAAACAAATACCGGCTTTAATAGAATATAAACATACCCTAAAAATCTCAAAATTTCTGCGCTGAAATTCTGCACTGCTACCAAAAACCAAAAAATGAATACATGTACAAAATACTTATCCAGCCTTAAGGCCAGTTTGTAGCGAAAGCGAATGCGAAACATGATTTTGATGTCATGCCAAGTTTTCGCACTGCAAATTCACAAAAATTGAACACATTACAACTCCGGCAAGTTTCGCAGCAAATTTGTCATGACATCAAATTCGGTTTGTATTTGCATTCGCTTGAAGTATATGAACCGGCCTACAATGGGAGACTTTTGAGACATTGGTGGCAGCAAACACACCGGTCCTTTTTCCATTGTTTGCGTCATATTGAGCATGCGCGTTTTGGCTTAAACATAACGTAGACAATTGAGAAAGACCTGGAATGTCTGCTGCCACCAACGTCTCAAAAGCCTCCCATTGAACACACAAGTGTGCAATTGGTTGTTTTTTTGTATTACTTTCGCTTGAAAAAGTACTGATGAATCCTCCAAAATTTCACCAATCTTTCCATACTGGTACTGTTCGTTCCCTATGATTTTTAACCGACTTATGAATTTAGTCATGATTTACTTGCAACCAGACTTGTGATGTACCTGTGACAGTGACAGAGTGAAATAAACACTGCTTGATACCTTTTTCGTGCTCTCGCACATGGCTCGGACAAAGATGTCGGAATCGACGGTGGCAGATCTGATCGTGTCGGTGCGAGCAAACTGGAATTTCCTTAATGAAGCAGTTTCATAGGTTGCTGTGGAATGACCGTAGAGTCTGCAACAAATAATTTTAAGCCAAAAATGCCAAGACTAGAAAACCTGTTTAAAAAAAATGAAAAAAACATCATCATAAATGCCGTAACCTCTGTTGTACTGAGTTTAAATTATTATTATTATTATTATTTATTCGACCATCACAAAAACAAAACAAAACAAAATTGAGTAAAACGAGCATAAAACAACAAACAACAAGTACAGTAAGACGGTAGCGGGGACCTGGGACGAAAATCCGAATACATGACAAGACAAATGACAGTTATGTGGGTCAGGGACCGCAAAAGTAAAATGAACTACTATTACCCACGGGTATGCAGCCCCGCACATAACGTTGAAAAGACAGATTACAAACACAGAAAACAACGGCCCCGCAGGGGTGATCAAAATGACAGCCAAAAAAAGAGAGCAATGGGTTGAGTTAAGTTACCGATAAGAATGCCTGCTTGAGGGCCCTTAGGAATCGAGGAAGGGAGTCGACAACAGCTGAGTCTTTGACATGAGGCGGTAAAGAATTCCATATTCTAGGGAAACTGCAGGTGGGAGAATGAAACAAAGCTTGTGTGCGTGAATGAAGATGGCGGAATGTAAGCACATCTGGGTGGCGTGGGTTGATTAGGATGTTGTCACTGATGGTCTCACATTGGCATAAACCGTGTAAATTGGCCAATTGACCCTGGCAAGCTTTGTGGTCTGGTGGTAAAATATTTGTATTACTGAGCAGTAATTTTCTGCAAAAATCTGGACTTACTTGAAAAATGCCAGCTGGATAGACAGCTGAATGAATGCATCGGGGCTCAGCTTTTGACTTTTACAAAAGTCTTTGCCGAACGGCTCGAATGAAAAGCAGGATATCTGAACGTCGTTGCCAAGACTGTAACGAAAAAGAAATTACACGAAACTTGAAGGAACAGTGAGTGAAATAGCAGATACAAATATTTTTAGGTTTTGATCTACCATTCAAACTGTTGCATGCATAGTGTCAATTCCTTTTTGCTGCCCTTTTGTTATAATTTTAAATAACGTTGTCATCATTTTTGTTTTGACCAATAACAGCCGTCATTAAAACACTTGAGCTGGCAATTTCAACAAGGCCAGTCCAGGAGTCAAAATAAATCAGGTGACTGTTTTCAACTGTTGGGGAGTGCTCCCTGCCTTCTATGCAGGACTGACTGGCTGTGATTGTTATGAAAGCTGATAGCGCTATGCTTTGACTTTCGGAGATTGATAAGCCAGCTGTGCCTACCAGTCACCTGCTTTTTTCTGTTGATGAAATTTGAAAAGGCGGGTATTTTGGTAACCCTATTGGTCAACGGAGCCCGGAGTGCGTGCATATTACCCGAGTGCAACTCGCTCGAGCCTGGTGTTACAGCACAAAATGGCTATCGCAGGATTAGCCTATTGCCATAATTATTGTCAAGATTCTACATTACCTGTCGATGTGACACTTGGCATCTTCAATCGCCTCCAAGGTTTCGCAATCCAGGTTGAAATCTAACCTCTTTGGGACTGAAGTAGAGATTGCGGATGACCTAGAGGACTCTACAGGAGTGTTGTGCCTTAAACCAAAAGACAAAAAAACGACTAATTAATGCTAACCCTTCCAGATGTAGTAGCACAGTGCGACAGGTGTACAAGTCTGTAGGGCCTTGTTGCATTGAGCCATCAACACCAGTGAATAAACTGCCAATGTGATTCATAAGCCAGCTGTGCCCACCACAGCTTGTCTGTTGACTGAATTTGTCTAGTCACAGTGCTTGCTTGAGATATGATCTGACTGTTGGTGACTAGCCTGTGTAAAAGGCAATGCAGGGGAAGAGGATTGATTTGTTGACTGTCTGAGACTTTTTAGACAGCAGGAGGGTTGAACTTGGGATTTGCTGCATTGGGCAGGGTTTGTAGCCAAAATACCAAAGGCGTTAAGTTAAATAAACTACAAAGGAAACTTGCCAAAGTCCAGTTTTTTGGTTGTAGTCGAGTCCACCACAAGTCCATCATAAGTCTGGATGCAAGTAAATCACAATTCAACTCACAAGTGCACAGTCACAAGAAACAGGGGATGAAAATGAACAGAGGAAGTGTTTGTGTGACAGTTTTTTGAATAACTTGTGATATGACTTGGGACTGGGAGAATTGTGATGGACTTGTGAGAACTTGTGAGGACTTATGAGGAAGAGTGAGGACTCGTGAGGACTTGTGAGGACTTGTGAGGACTTGTGGAACTTGTGATGAATTGTGAGGACATGTGAGGACCTATGACATGTATGAGGACCTTCAAAGACTTGTGATGGACTTGATTTCCGCACTGGCAAAGTACCCCTTATAAGTGATTTATTTTGAGTATTATTTCTTACGCATAGTGTAAACTGTGGTCGATCATTGCCATAATGTAAGGACCTTCGACCGTGCAGTGTTCATACTGCAGAGCAATCTCTCCATCGGCTCCGATCATAAACTGTAACCAAAATACAACATCAGAAGTTCAACTTCAAGCTAGCTGACAAACCAGCAATTCATTCCTTACTTTACTAGAATCTCAAAGACACTTTAATATTTACCAACTTTGGAATGGCAGTCTGAAACAAGTGTAACAAGCTAGATAAGGGGCCCCCCCCCCCCCAAAAAAAATCTCCAGTGTCTGGTCTGCACATGCATCCCAGTAGCCATGCGCATCAGCAAATTATAATATTTTTTTTTCAATGTTAGATGATGTCTCAAAACCGCCAAACTCACTGCTTTGACTGGAATCCTGCTGCTGCACAAAACTTGTTTTTAGATGGGGTGACGATCGAGTACAAGCTTTATGTGGCTTCTCTGGGCTCCTATATATTTTGCACTACATTTAGTCGGGCACCATTTGCAGACGGTGTTGTAATTTTGTAATTTTGTAAAAGCGCATGCACAATGTTGATGTCGCTCTATAGTCTGACATTACCGTTTTCTCTGATATTTCTCTAGACTATGCAAATTTCCCAAAGAATGTTTGTGTCGGTCGAGATCGTAAATGGGTGCAGAATTCTCAAGTCTTAAGGCCTTACTGAGGTCACCTCAAGCTCACCCTGAAAGATATTTTTGAGAGTTTTAAGGGGATCGAAGCGTTATCTGCAACATCAGCCAACATTTGAAGAAACAAAAAGTAGGGGGATAAACCCGTGTCGCCGCACCATTTTGGGGGCAAGCTCCACAACAGAAACCCGAGACTTTTTTTGGCCTAACCAATCAATTAAGCTCGCACCTGTATGGTCTTATCAAACCACCTGTTGCAGCTGTTGGCTCTGCTTCCCCCGCCATACAGAGCCATCTTGGCACAGTAATTGGCAAAGCTCTCTACTTGCATCTGCCCGTCCAGCTCCGAGTAGACGGATTTGTCCAAACACACCATGAAGATACTTCTCTTGATCTCTTCAAAGGAAGCTCTGTTGACTTTGTCTAAGAGCGACAAAAACCAACAGCAAATAAAAATGAAAGACCGGTTCATGCCTGCAAATTTACAGCAAGCGTGGTTTCACAAAAATATTCAGAGCAAAATTTGCCTCAATAGAGAAACAATCAATTTTTTTGTGAATTTGCTGCACAAAACATGTTTTGACATCATAACTGTGTTTACTCCAAATTCTGAAGCGGCACTATTAATATCAAAATGGGAAAATCTTACAGATTAATCAGATTAATCAAGAAATGAGAACCAATTTCTCAAAAGCACTCTTTTTATGAAAGTCTTTGAGTAGTGAATTAAAAGAAGTCAGAATTGAAGAATTCGCGACCGAGAGAATCAAATCAAGCTAGTCAAAACTACTTTTGACACAGAGACCAACTTGAAGATGTCGTACTCTGTAATCAAATAGAGCATCATGCAGGTGAATATAAATGAATCGTAATAATACAACTATCATAAATATCTTCTTTGCATCTCTTCAGTCATAGAATACTGAGCATCTTTTGTTTTAAAAATACTGAAACGTTTTCTTTATACACCCTGTGTACATTTTCACCTTTTGACTGGTCACCTGTTTTTTTTCCAATGCCAAATCAAAATCTTGTTCTTCAATTGTTACCAAGTTGGGTTTACTTTGATCAATCGACAAGTTGCTTTCTTACCCTTGGACATCTTCTTGAATATCTTGCCCCACGTGTTGCGGTGTTCCGACGTCAGAATATTAACCGGTTCGGCAGGGAATGGCGACGCAGCAACAATCTCCTTGAGCTTTGAGTGGATCTCACTGATTGGCAGAGGCTTGCCTTGTGAGTCGTAAACAACCAATGAGAAGAGCTGTTAGAAAAAGAAAAGAAGCTAAGTAAACAAATGCACTGCCCTCAATGGTGCAGCTCTGAGCATGTGGGCTCCGTGCACCAACAAAAGAGGGCGCTTTTTCTACCACTTTTGAGTGCTCTGAGAAGGGGACACTCTGCGTACCGGTGCACATTGCACTGGTTTGCACACGAAGTACGCACGACTTCCTGAATGTATCAAAGCTAAGCCACAGCTTCTTTGCGTGAATGTCAGGAGTCGTCGGCGTGCGAATGAGTTCAAATGTCTCTTTTCAATGGTCTCCCAGACTAATCCCTGCCCCACATAGCTACAGATCACTCGGAATTTGCAATGGATGGACCGGGAACCAGTCTAGGTCTCCCCCAACTCTCCTTTTCTGGCTGTTGAAGGGGTACTTGTACACGGAGCAGGCTCATTGCAGAAGCAATAGCTCCACTAAAAGGACTCCGCGCACAAGTACCCCCTCAACGGTAACAGATGGAGAGTCGGAGAGACCACTGGGAGAGACATTCTAACACATTGTAGATGGCCCCAATGCTCACACAAAGACACTATGAGTATTGTGCACATTCAGAATATAATCAGTCGTGCGTACTTCATGCCACTCGACCACGAACCAGTACGTGCACCAGCGTTACCCTCTCACTGGGGGTCTTGAAAGTGGTCAGATAGCCCCCTCTACTGTCTGCGCATGAGGTCTATGCATACTCACTAGTCCGGTTCCCTGACTCCATTGTCCTTTGGACTTCAAAACTGGGGTCCGGTAACTAGCGGTGAATCTGGCATACATTGCCCGGAATTCCGGCCTTCCGGGTAATGTATGTTAACTATATGCATGAGGTGCGTTGGTCTGAAACCCGCCTCGCCTAGTGAATTCTAAATCACAACGGTAATGTCTGCACACAACCAGCCTGTTGCAAAATGGCAATAGGCCTGGCCACGAATGTGCAAATTTTGGAGGTAATGAGCTTTGATTTTTGCTGAATTTGAAGTCTCTCTGGCAAATATCATGAAGAGAGAAATATTGCTGTTCAATGTTTACAAGCTATGCAGTTGAAATGCTTGAAAGTTGCTGTCATGGAGAAACTGGTGATGTTGTGAACTTTTTTCGTGGTAAGACAAGCGTGAGTTTCTTGATAATCGTGAGTTCAATTACCGGCGTCCATGCACAAAAGTTGAACAGCGATTCAAAAATAAATCGTGATGCGCGCGCAGAGGCGATTCAAGAAAAGGCTTTTAATGAGAGCTCGTTACTGGTCCATATATCTTTGGGTGGGGGGGGGGGGTGGGATACAGTCTACGCATACTCACGTGATTGTTGTGCCCAATGACGGTGTGCCTGGGTGCGTCGGGTTCGTTGGGTGGGAAGCTGACAACGGAATCCTTCTTGACGCCCGGTACCCGGCAAGACGACAGAATCTTATGGTACCGATACATACAGAGCGGCTGACCGCCCATGTAATCATCTGGTAACGAGTTACTGTGGGATAATTTTTTTTAAATTGTTTCGATTATTGAAAAGTTTTAATTTTAAACAAAGAAATTGACTAGAGTGGCATTTGAACCTGCGACCTCCAGATTACAATTTCGGTGCTCTACCAACTGAGCTAGCTAGCCCTATGTCTGTGGTTCCCCATCTCGTCAGTGTCTTTGTTCAAGGATGCAGAAGCCATAAACCTGTATATGCCATGTAGCCAGGGATCACGCCCAAATTCACAATACTAGAAACACAAGCAATGTTGCAAACCTGGCAAATAGCAAATGAGGATCAGTTTTCCTTTACGATTTATTCGCAGAATTGAAATATTTTGATCATTCATTAAACTGTACCCAAGGAAGAGGAAAGAGTTAACATGGTAATCGTGTAGTTGAGGACCCTGTTCCTAAAAGAGAACAAAAACACACCTTTATGTTTTGGGACTTTAATGCCTAAACATTTGGCAAAGGTACAAGCAGGAAAAGTCACTTTTTGTGCTTGGAATCATGTAAATAGTTCCCAAGGATTATAGGATGCCATGTTAAATATCAGCCAGCTTAATTTTGTGGAAAGAGGGCAAGGTTTTGATTGATGACTTGAACAGAACTTGTAAAACATAACAGGTGTCCTAAACTACACGATTAGCGATAACATGGCCATTTCACAAATTGACAAGGTTCAGCCAAAGTTCATGCACTCTACAAATCTAAACAGCCTCAGGAACGGTGCGCCACTGAAGTACGATCAGCACAATTACGTAGTATTAACTCAATGATAGTTGTGTTCAAACTGAAAAAAAAAAAAAAAGTTTTTTTCCCCTGGAGATGTGGAAACCACACACTAGTTGTACAGACAAGGTTTCCAGCACTTCTAATGAAAACAAAATTCCCTGATGAGTTCTCCCTTTGCTTTTGAATGTTAATTTATACATCTTTCAAAGTCGTGCACATGTTTGTTTAACCCTAAGCAATTTTGCGAGGATGCAACCTCAATCCTGCAAAATCCTGCAACTGCCTCCATGTAAAAAGTACCTGCAGCCTCAATCCTGACAAAACCCTCCATTATTTCTTGAATGTGGTCCTTGGTGGGGTGACCACTGCCTCAATCCTGCAAAATCACTGTCAATATGTTGAGGCTGAGCCAGTGACATCCTGGAGCAGTGCGGAGGATTTCAAGTATAATCTAGGCCTACATTTATGCACGGCTGAGCATAAACAACACAAGGTCCAGCCTAAGACCTTGACACAGTGCATCCTCCAAAATCAGCCACACAATTTTGATACAGCCTCAATCCTGCAAAATTTTCTTTTTTGCAAAGACGATTTGGGAGCTTCGGGAAAGTTAGGGTTAAACTATACTCCCTTTAACCCTTACCCTACTAGACCCTCCAACGCATGCCAATATGTGCCTCAAGAAAATCTCCTATGTTTTTTGCATGGCCCTCCAATATCTGCCATGTCATTTCAAGGGTAACTGGACAGGCACTCCAATACATGCCACAGAGAACAATGAGAGTCCTCTGATAACAAAGTGAGTGCCCCCAGCTGGTCAGTATCAGGCACCCTCCAGGGCCTCCAACTCCTGCCAATTGGAGCCTTCACTGTTAAGACAAACTATCTGCCAATAAACTGCAGCTGGAGGGCATTGGCATAACCAACTGACATGCAGTAAACTACCCTCAGAGAGTAAGGGTTAATAGAACATGTACTTTTTAATAGTAATCTCATTATCACAAGGGAAATATTACCATACCTCATGCATATTCACCTCGGGCAGCTAAAATCAACTATCCACCCTCAACACCATGTAATATTTCTATATTGTTACACCATCAATGTTACAGTTAAAATCGTCGGACTCTTACCTGTCGATCAGCTGTTTGAAATCTAAGACACCGGCAATGAACCTGGCCGAGAATTCCAGCTGAGCGTCGACGCCCCTAAAGTCCTCGCGGGGGAAAACCACGCCGGGACTAACGTGCAACACCACGGGCGAACGGAACTCAAGATACGCCTTGTGTAGCCACCACTCTGCAAGCTGTAATTTGCAAAGTTTATACCAAAAAAGTTGTAACCAATCAAATAAACATTCTTTTTTTCAAATAAACTACAAGTCTGTAATTAAGAGCAGTATCCTCTCTGAGTGATCTCCTTGTACTATTTCCCAGGTTTGCAGCATTGCTGATGTTGCTAGCATCGTGACTTTGGGCGTGATCCCTGGCTACATGGCATACATGGGTTTATGGCTTCTGGCAGGGTTCGACCTTAACTTTTTTGTTCACTAGCCAGCCGGGCTACTGAAACAGCCTCTTAACTGGCCCGCGGGCATTTTCACTAGCCCGCATTTTTTTTTAGCTCAAATACAACATGGCGCATTTTCAGGCTCAACTCTGTAGCAATTTTGTCAGTGTTTTTAAATATAAACAGATCTAATCATTTAAACTTTTAAAACAGTTGAAAAAACGAGACACAAATTGATGAGGTTTTCTTTCTGAATTTAATGATTTATTTCATCCTGTCCTTTCATCTTTGCTGTATCCCAATAATATTTGGACTCACTAGCCGGGCTACTTAAGGGGTAGTTTGACTAGCCCGCCGTCGTTTTGACTAGCATTTGGCTAGCCGGCTACCGCTAATTTCAAACCTTGCTTCTGGCTAGCACCCCTTGAACAAAGACATTGCAAAATTGGGGAAATTGCTAGCATCAGGCTGGATAGCTCAGTTGGTAGAGCACCGGAACGGCAATCCGGAGGCCACAGGCTCAAACCACAATCCTGGAAATGTCTTTGTTCAACTTTGAAAAAAATAATTGTTCTTTTGTATAAATTTTTACAAAAAAAATGTAAAAAAAAAAAATCTGCAAAATGTACTTTATCTACAATTTTTGGTATTTGTGAAATTATAATCAATTATCGATGATTTACCCAGTTGTCCATCTTCTGGTATCTTTGGATCAGCGCCATCTGTAGTGACTCTCCATAGCCGCCTGGTTTGCCAAACTCAGTCACAATCTGAAAATCGAAGTATCAAATTTGTCAAATAAAGCATTGTGTTCCCATTATCCCTTTTTCTAAAGATTCCCTTCTGGGGTGATGTTTTTCTATTGTGAAAAAAGTGGGGTGATGTGTCCTGAAAGGAACATCACCCCACAAGGGTGGTATGGTCAGAACGGGTAGACGGACGGACGGACGGACGCCCGGACAGACGGACGGAAATTGGTATTACATAGGCTCGCATCTGCTTCGCAGCTCGCCAAAAATGAACTCTCCTTGGCAAACTCTTGGTGGCGCACTGCATTGTGAATCGCCCGAATTGAAAAGGACCAGTGTGTTTGCTGCCACCAACGTCTCAAAAGTCTCCAATTATATTGACTTGAGTCGTAGACTGTTCTCCCCCCCCCCCCCCCAAAGATATGGGCACCGGTAGCTAGCTCCCATTTGAAGCCTTTGATCGAATCGCCTCTGCGCGCGTGCGATGATCACGATTGTTTATTTTTGAATTGCTGGTCAACTGTGCATTGACACCAGTGATTCTCAAGCTCAAGCTCAGCTTGTCTTAACACAAAAAGTACACAAAATCACCAGTGTCTCCATGAAAGCATTTTCAAGCATTTCAACTGCATAAAAGTCTGCCCCGAGCCTATATGGCCCATCAGGCCGGCGTTTATCTCCGGTTTCCGTGGCATGAAACGACTGAGAATATTTCTATTCCCCTTGGACAGGATGCCAGTCCATCGCAGGTTACTCCCCAGCTAATGCTGGTACACATTTATACTCCTGGGTGGAGAGAGGCAAGTGGGGATTAAGTGCCTTGCACAAGGACACAACGTATGGCCGGCAGCTGGATTCGAACCCCTGACCTTCTGATTATGAGCCACGAACCCTTACCGCTAGGCCACACTTCCCACATTTCAACTGCATAGGTTATGAATATTGAACAGCAGTATTTCTCTCTTTACTGTCAAATTTGCCAGAGATACTTTCAAATTCATTAAAATTCCAAGCTCATCATTACCTCCAAAATTGCACATTCGTGACCAGTTGGCCTACTGCTATTTTGCAACAGGCTAGTTGCGTGCAAACATTACTGTTGTGATTTAGAATTCACGAGACCAGGCGGATTTCAGACCTACGTACATCATGCATATTAACCAGAATTCCAGGCCATGTATGCCCGATTCACCACTAGTTATCGAACCCCATTTTGAAGTCCAAATGGCAATGGGGTCAGGGAACTAGACCACTTGAGCCGATACAACTCTGCTCTACCCACCTTCTTTGTCGCCTCATAATCCTCCTCGCTCAGTATAGGCTGGACGGCCAGCAGGTACTTATACAGCGTCTGTTGGAGTGGAGGGACGGGCAGACGAGACAGGGACTGTTGGTGTGCAAACATCCGGCCTGGCTGGGCCTGCTTACGGCCCAGCATCGCGGCGGTCTTCTCTGCGGCCTTGGCCATGGGGCTGATGTTGGCAGATTGCCGCATCTGTGCACAAAATAAAAGTCAACTTTTCAGCATAGTTATAAAATTGGAAGCCTCTTGCTCTTGCAGATTGGAATGAAAAAAATCTGAAACTTCAAAGCTAGAACTATCTGTGGGGTCCAAAAGGGAAAAAATTCCATACTGGGCCACCACTCAGAGCTCCCGCACAAAGTCTATGGGCCATGACAGAACATTTGAAAGTATTATCAAAGAATTTTTGCACTCCTTAAACGGTGTTTCTTCATCAGATTTACAACTTTTGGTACTTTTCAGGTCATATTAGGGCTATGGAATATGAGTGGTGGCCCACGATGGAATTTTTTCCTAAACACTACATAAGGAGTGCAAAAATTCTTTTAAATAGGGCCTACTACTAGGCCTATAAGTAACTTTTCTGCCATGGCCCATAGACTTTGTGCAGGAGGTCTGAGTCGGTGGCCCAGATGGATCTCTCCGAAAATACGATGCATACCCGCATTTATTTAGTCTTAGCCCAATTGCCAACCAAACACACACACAAAAAGTAGCTGGAGTTACCCAGCCCTGAGTTTTATCATTGGGTTGTCATTTAGGGCTGGAGCTAGTTTTTCACGTAACCGAGCAGCCTAGGCAGGTCCCAAAAAAATTGCAACTGCAACTCACCCCAAACTTGCCTGGAATAACCATTACACAGGTCCTTGAAGTAAAAAAACGATCCACGATGAAGATTCAGCCTACAATTGCAGTGAAAAAAGGAGGAATAACCGCTAACCTGACAACCTTGCAGGCATGGCCAGGACCGCAATTGGTTTGTGCACACACAAAATTGTGTACAATGAATGGCGGTCGGTTACCAGGCTGTCAACTAGTCGTTTTTGCCGGCTGCGCTGGCTGTTGGCGCATGACGTCACGCGGAAGACTGTTTCATGCACTATCGGTTGCGGTTCCAGTACCGCAGCTGTGATGCGAGTGGTAATCCTCATATTAGTGCATGAAACAGCAATTTCTTTTGGGACCTGCCTAGGCTGCTCGGTTACGTGAAAAACTAGCTCCAGCCCTAAATGACAACCCAATGATAAAACTCCGGGCTGGGTAACTCCAGCTACACAAAAAGTACAAACATGACAAAACGTAGTAGGGTACTCTAGGGTACACTGCACATTTCAACATGTTCAACCATGGAGGAATGTTTGTCAAAACTCAAAACAATCAATCAACAACATGAACAATGCAGCCACAAAAACATTTGTCATGAAACAAAAGAGGAGAACAATTGACATAAATAAACCTCACTTACAAAATGCCTAGCTACACTAGACAGCATTGCCGCTCTTTTTACAGCCTGATGAGGTTTAAAAAGGGCAAAATGTTTGCTTTTATAAGTTTTAATGTTTGTGATAAGGAGGGCCGATTAATTGCACTGCAGATAGATCTATGCTAGCCCCACTAGTGTGGCCGTCGGTATGCTGCGCTGAACCTAAGGTTCAGCGCAGCATACCGACGGCCACACTAGTGGGGCTAGATCTATGCCAATTATTAACCCCTAAAGTACGGGTTATAATGGGGACATTCCTCCACACATAGAGCAAGTGGCCCGCATGACTGCACAGCCTTTGTGTGGTAGCGGGACTGCACAAAAGCAGCAGCTGTGGAACTACCCACTAGCCATGTGCCATGGCATACCATGGCAGAATCCTGGTTGGTTGACCTCAATAAACATGATGGGTGCGCGCCTGCAAATAAATTCCCATAGACACTAGTGCTAAATGTCCATACTTCAAAATTCATTAAAAAATACTCAGAACTCTCACAGGTATTCAAGCTGCACAGAAAAATGATGATCAACATGTCATCTTTCATTTTCTTTTCAATTTTGGGTGGGTTGACCATTGACTTTTTGAGATATTCTCACCCAAATAAGAACACCCCTAAAACGAATGATGTTTCCCAAACTGGAAAAGTAGCCATTTTGAAAAAGAATCCCTCCACAACATGGCTAAATAGCGCCACTTTCGGGCCAGATTGCATCCAAAATGCTCAGAATTGGAAACTCCAAGTCCAGGCCAGAGGTTCAGTGCCACATGTCTTCAATTCCCCAATTCCATGGTTCTCAGAACTCTCTAATATAGAATATTTTGAGGTATAACTTTTATTCATGAGCTCGGCGGACAGATTTTTGGCCTATTTACAGGCGTGCACCCTGCTATTGATCAACATTCTCAGCGCTACAACATAATAGTACTGTACTATCATGACTATGCGTCATGCTCCATTGCACTCCCACTTCGTGACCGCGTAGCCGCCAACAGGGTGGTTGGTTTGGACATGGAGGAAGGTCCTCCATGGTTTGGACCAAAGGTTTGGACTTGAACAATTTTCAGCAACTCCCATTCCTTTTGTGTTGCTTCGTTCTCAAGCATATTCAAGGGGACTCCCACTCCGTATCCGCGTAGGGTGGTCGAGCGCATGGCATATGCATGGTTAAAGGTGAAAGGTCATATTCTTGAGTAGACTTGTTTTAGTCGCCCTTTAGTTTGAAGTTTTCTTTTTGAAGTTTTCTTTATGAGACTCTTGAGGGCGCAATTAAATTAAGAGGTCAAATTTTGTAGCAGGGCCAGTGGGTCGAATTTTCCGGGCCAATTACCTCTTTTTCTGAAGGTTTTACCTGCTAAAAGTTAACGTGCCTACTGATAAGCGTGCGATTAAATTGTCTTATGATTGGTCAGTATGATTCAATACACGTGGCAAGGTAATTTTGTTTAACTTGGCCAAGTCCTTTGTTAACTTTTTAGTTTCAAGTTCGCACTTTCAACCACAGTGACCGTTTTAGCCGATTTTCGGCTAACTTGACAGAATGGGGTTTTTTTGGCAGATTTCTGGCACAATTCTGCAAAAATGGTAATTTGAAAAAAATGGTACATTTTTTTACAAAAACTTCAATCTTTTTAAACAAACCCTTGCCAAGGGGCCTTGCAAAATAGGACAGGTTGCCTGGTGTAGGTGCTGAGGCTTGTTGGGAACCGGATTTCGTCGTGACGCAACTGTGTTTTGCCTGAAATTTACGCAATTTCCACATTACGTTTATGTCATGTATGTGGTTATAGATTGTTTATAAATAATATAATTTGAACATTAATTAAGGCAATTTTACAACATCTGCATGTGATATAAGGTGTTACTGTTAGACTTTATGTATTTCAAGTAATTCTGGGGAATTTGGCAGATTTTTGATAAATCCGACAGATTTTGGAAGTGCATTGAGCAGATTTTAGTCATGACCTTACGGTCACCCCGCTTTCAACTCTTGTGAGAACTTTGCTCTTTGTTTGCCATGTTAATGAGAAAGTGACAAATTAAAACGGGGGGGGGGGGGGGGGGGGGGGCGTCCGAAGCCTTTAAAAAACCCTTCTTACATGTTCAGAAATGGGTCACGGTGAATCAGGAAATGGGTCCATGGCCATAAAAAAAAAAAATTCTGAAAAAGCAACGTTCATCCTGTTTTTTTCTCCGGCATCAATGATATATTTTTTAAAGCCGATATGGGATACAGTGTTGCTGTTGCTATTAAAAGGCCCCAAAATGTCGTCAGTTGAGACAATTGCCCCTCCCTTCCCAATCTGGGGGGGGGGGATGAGTATTTGCCTTTGCTTTCAACACATTTGTAAATGACAGACTTGTGACAAAAGCTTAACTTAGGATGGACTATTTATTAAAATGCATACCAACAAAATATTTATGGTAAATGTGGAACACTGACTTAATCCATTGCTGTTCACCACTGTGACTGGTTAAAGTTAAAGAGGTTGCGGAATGCTCGAAGACATTTCCGTCATTTTTCGGGTATATGTGATGAAATAAAAACGACTATTGTTTCTGTCATAAAATGAGTACAAAAGGTACTTTTGAGAGCTGTTTTTCAAGTCCTGTCATGCCTGTTTCGACCCGAACGTGCAATTTGTGTAAAAGTCGTCTTTGCGGGCAGCAAACAAAACACAGTAATACACAGTGACGTAATAAACAGGACTCCCGATGCAGAGTAGCATAAACGAGTCCTGTTTATTACGTCATGATTTACTGTGTTTTGTTTGCTGCCCGCAACGACGACTTTTACACAAATTGCACGTTTGGGTCGAAACAGGACCTGAAAAATAGCTCTCAAAAGTAACCTTTGTACTCATTTCATGACAGAAACAATAGTCGTTTTTATTTCATCACACCTTAGGCTACATATACCCAAAATATGACGGAAATGTCTTCGAGCATTCCACAACCTCTTTAAGACACCGATCCATTAAGCCAAACCCACTGCACACGTGGGGGTAACATCACGTGCACCTCAAGCTATCTGCTGTCAAATGCCGGCCAGGGCCAAATATCCCACACATATCGGACATCAATCATGGCTGTGATTGGTCAATGAGTCAATAGGCGGGGCTTAATAGCTTTTCTCAGTGGCTTTGAACATACATGTATTATTTGATTTAAACATTGATTTCTGTTGTGTGACTGTTGCGGAATACCCATGGGCATCGCCAGGATTTGTCCTGGGGGGAAGCAAATATTTCCCCCAAAATCCTTGTACTTCTGCAAGCATATTCTCAATTTATCATTTTTTCGAGGGTGGGCGGGAGACAAGCATCCCCCTTGCCGCCCCCCACCCCCCCCCCCCCCCGCAACGCCCATGGTAATACCAAACAAGCCAACATGCAGGCCCTATTTTGATCACAATGCTACAGATGCAACCTATATCTACCACTAGAAATACCAGTACAGACTTTCAAATAAAATCTCGTAAAATCAATTATTTCAGACTAGTCAGCTATATTGGAAATGCAATGTTTGTCAAACTTTGAAACAATTATAGGTTTTTAGTAGTCCCAATTAAGAATATATCCCAATTAAGAAAGTGGCCCATTCTCTACAGGATAAATCAGCTAGGACTCTTACTCATTAAGTAACTTCCTTTTTTCATACATAATTTAATCGAAAACTAAAAATGTGTGACTTTCAATTCATTATCTGGACCCCTCTCCCCCCCCCCCCCAAGTTAAAAAAAAAAACCAAAAGAAGATATATGCTTTACATTGGTTATTTGATTTTACAAATTTACCTCATTTTTACATAATTTACAAAGAGTTGTTGGAAAAAAATTCACATTTCACAGAATTACAAAATACATACATTAAAATAAAGCAATAACAAATGCCTCTTTCATTTTTTTTTGAATGGTGCATATGAGAATTTCAAAAACAAGGAAATTAGCTGACGAAGGGAAAACACAAATGTCTTTTTGTTTCAAAGCTTAGCATGTGGTGGCACCTTGTTCAAGACACGTTGCATATCTAGTAGACTCTCAGCCAGTTTCTGGGAAAACTTCTCCGAGTCGGTTTCAGGGACGGTGTTGAAAGCGGTCACGCCAAAGTTGATGTGGTCGTCTTGGGGTTATAGCAGACGCCGTAACCGTTTGGGACGACAGGACCGAAGATCATAGTCAGGTCATGCTTTGCTGGTACCTGAACAAAAATTAAACAAAATAGTGGTGTTCTTAAGTGACTTTATTGCTTTTTATCCCTAACCCTACAGGGTATTTTGGCTAGAAACCCTGCCAAACGCAGCAACATGCAACACTTGTCTGAATGACAAGCCTGCCCAGTGTAGCAAGATCCATCAGGCCAAAAGTCTCGAGGCCTACCTGCCTCAGAGTCCGTGGTCACCGAATGCAGCAGGATACAACTGTGGCATTCTTCAATGGGACTAGCTCTCAATATTTCAGAACTGGCCGTTTTTGCACTGGTGTTGGTAGCTGAATGCATCAAAGTGCACTGTGTTGCGTCTGGCAGGTTAGGGTTAGGATAGACAGAATGCCAGTCCTTACAGCTACAGCTTTTTGAAAAGGCTGTCTTGGCTTGGGCTGATGTTTGTCCAAGAGGCGAAGCTATGGCGCAATTTGAGCAGAGACTACCTGACTTAATCACAAGGACTTTTGCACTTTTGCACCGTTTCCGTTCTTTCTTTACCTGGCTTGTAGAGAGGCGGAAATGCATAGCCGCCGTGTAGGACGTATCCATGAATATCTCTGGTACGTTCTTGCCTTGCTCGATGGCAATCAGCTTCAGGCCAAACAGATGTCTGTCGATGGCATCGCCATTAATTGCCTGAAAATGACAAGACGTAACAATACAGTAAAGAAGTAAAGCCTGTCCGGAGCAAATATGGTACATCATGTCAGCATTTATCTCTGGTTTCCATGGCATGAAATGACTGAGAATATTTCTATTCCCCCTGGATGGGACGCCAGTCCATCACAGGCTGCTCCCCAGCTAATGCCGGTACCCATTTATA